CAGGAAGGGAAAGAATTGCAGAAGGTGTGGCTGAACTACTTCTCTCATGGGCTGAGACCTGACTGGGACTGTGAGATCCCAAAGGATGAAGAGGGGGATCAACAGAAAACATATTACAAGAAGAGACGAAACTAGATGGGTAAATTGTCCTTAAATGTCTAGCATGTTGCTAGAAAAATTAGTAATAAAGCCCTCTTGTAATACTAGGAAAAGAGAATATTGGGGAAATTAAATAAATAAAATGCTTCCCCACACAGGTGGGGCGTAAGAGGCCAAAGTCTCCTTTGATTACTCACACCGGCAGATGGATTCATTCTTTTTATGACATCATTTTGCTTGAGTTACACAGAATTTTATGTCTCACTTAAATCCATTTTGTTAGCAGTTTCACAACTTTTTTCATCTATAGCCATTTTGGAGTGACCTGCTCATGGTTAACCTCAAAAGTTATGTAATTTCTGAATTCAGCAGCGAGTCAAGGCACCATTAAACCAGCTTGATATTAAGAAGAGACATTGTTCCAAGGTGGCCTCAGAGAGCAGAACTTGGGGTTTCTTTTCCTCCACAGGGTCAGAAAAACATCATCTTTCAAAATACCTACTTGCTCTGAGCAGATCCTGAGAAAGAAGGACCCTTGAAAGTCACAGATTTTGTACTATCTAAACCTAAAAGATTAATATATAACAAATATATGAACATATGTATATATGACTCAGGATTAGAGGTGTGTGTTTGCATGTGTATATATGTACACACATATATTTGACCTGTCTATAAAAATGTATAAATATCTTAACAATTGATGTATGTTGGAAAGGATAGTCAGAGGCTTAAGTACTGAACAGGAGGCCAAATACTGCCTGGAGAGGAATACTGCAGAGGCAGTTCAGCTGGGTAGGAATTAACAATGTGACACTGTCTGAAGAAATGTAGTGGTTGTCTTATGTTGTGTTAAGAGGACTGTGGTGTGTAAAACAAGGAAGGTAATTATTCTGCTCTGCTTAGCACTTGATAGCTCTCAGCTGCAGCACTTACATACTGTTGGGAGGATGGTGTATCAGGGAAGGCAGACAGCTTGGAAGCAGCCATGAGCAAAGCAGTGGCCAGAACAAATCCTAGGTATAAATCCCACAGAAAAAGGGCAGGAGGACAAGATGTGCCAAGCTTGTTGAAAAACAGGAAGAGAAGATAGCAGTGAGATAGACTAAAACTTGATAAACTTCTTGTTTAGCAGCTCAAAAGATAGCTCTTGACACCTGAGAATTTTGAAGCGCTTTATAAATGTGTGCCTTAGACCATGATTTCCCTGGGATGCACATTTTATTGAAGCCACTTGGTGTGTGGCTAAACTGAAGTAGAGTTTAAGTGGTTTATTGAGCATGGCAGAGGTGGGCAGGGGAGGCTCTGACTAACTGTTCTCCCAAAGCTGTTCTGCAAATTGCGTCGCAGATTAAAATATGCCCAGTCTACCCCAAAACATAATGAAGGAAAGCAAAGATGGTGAGAGATTGTGCTGCTCTTCAAGCCCTCTCCGCTACTCATACCTCATTGAGTCGGTCTCTGCTGGGCTCTTAATTCTACAAGCAATTGGGCTGGGGAAAATTACCACGGAAATTTTGCAGTCACTTTCATTACACATATTATTACTGGTTGTCTATTGTAATCAGCAAAGCCTGTTTCATCAGTGTGATGTAGCAATTTTCATTTTCATTCTCTTGCGTATGCTCCTGTGAACAATAACAGGACAGTCTGTGAGGAAGGGCTATGATTACAAGCTGAGAATGTGAATTTTGTCTGACGGGAAGGGAGTGGCCAGTTCCACCAAAGTTCCCCCTTTTCCTGCCTGCATGAGTGCGGCAGCACAGATTTGTTTCAGGGCACACTGATGGAAACCCTTTTCCTGCCTTATTACTGGTACAGATCTAAAAAGATTTAAGAGAAGATTTCAGAGAGTCCTTAAAGCATACGAGCCTTTGGCAGGTGGTACCTTTTTGCAGTAAGCTGTAGTACTTGCTGTAAGTACTTGCAGAGCCTGGGGTGCTCCAGCTGATGATATCAAGGCACTCTCTCTATAAGCCCTTACTAGGGAAGCTACAGTTTGGGGAAGGCTGCTGCAGGACAACAGGCATGTTTCTGCACTTGCATGCCTCAAGTATGTGCAGCCTCTGGCACTGCCGCGTGTACACTGAGACACAGTCTCAGTCTCTTCTGCATGTCACCAGGCACACAGAAATCCTGGGATGAAGCTGCAAGTGACTTGCAGGAGGTCCTGCAGGCCTCCTGCTGCATGTGCAGCCATCCCACAGCTGTCTGTGGGCAAGGGTCCCAGCTGGTGGCTTCACTGACCTTGGACTGAGGTCCCATTTTGCTAAAGAGGAGGCAATCGTGGTCCACCGTACAGTGAACAACACACTGCGAGAAAGCTGCAACCAGCGTTACTGGGAAAGGAAAGTTGGGTGGAAGAGATATACAGCCATCTTTCACACCTTTCTTTGACAACAGAGTTACCGTTTCTGAACTCCTGTTTCATGAACAGCAGTTTCCAAGATGCAGAGAAGCCTGACACCAGCAGTCACTGAGACAACCACCACCTTTTCCCATCTGCAGATGCTCAAAGGAAAGATGCTCAAATGCCCGAGTCAGTTGCCCTCTCCCCACATCTGAGGTGATAATGAAAGGCATGAGGGAGACAGCTCCTCACCTTGTGAGTAAATAACATCAGAAGGTTTTATCACCACTGGGTGCTGTACTAAGAGCAATCTCAGAGCTGTTTTGAGCTCATTAGCCAAGTAAGCATCAACAAGAATCAAGGTACGTGATGACTACTTAAACTGTTGACTGCATTTTTGATGCCAAATAGAGAGGAAAATATTTTCTCTACCTGCCAAAGAGTACCTTCTCTATTACTGCAGTGGAGTTACATAAGTCCACTGGGCTGCATGGACGTCACTCTCTCTCTGGGGGTATTTTTGATCCAGCTGTATCAGTGGAGGACAGTTTTTTCTGTCTCAGCTGTTCTACCATGTACCTTCTATTTCCCACAGGCATGCTCAAAATATGCAGGGTTTTATAAAGGTCCTGCCTCCTGGAGGCTTGAGGATTGTGTAGTGTAGTGGGTGAGCCAGAAAGGAGGTGTGAGGTCTCCTCATTAGTGGAACCAGACCGGTTTTGGTGTCTGTGCCTGGCATGACCAGGTGCTATTTCAGCTGGGGCAAGCAAGCTTTCTTTAGGTTTATGCTCCATTGTTCTCCACTGAGACCTTCGAAGCTGTGCTGGTTGAGAGAGTCTGCAGTTGTACTGCATTGGGCTTCTTTAATCTGTTGTCACTGTGCATAACCAGTGCTACATTAGATATTAAAATATCATTTTTCCTCTGGTGGAAAAATTGTTTAAATATTCTGATTTATACAATCCAGACCTATATAGACTCTGGATCTTTTGTTTTAAAGATAAAGCTCATTTTGTCATAAAATGCACGTAGATAAATCTAGCAGGCATCTAGTCCATGTAATTGCTCTGGGTTTATATCACTACTGCTTCCCTGGTCATCTCAGTAACTATCTTCCTGAAAAGATACTGAACTGTTACTACTACGAGTGCTGCCAGCCTATTTCTGCAATGCCAAGGCTACACCACACTCTTATCAGGTTGCCACTAAAACCATTATACTTCAGTTACCACTGACAAGTCAGCTCAGTTGCCACCATCCCTGGATTCAACTCTGATCGTGCTTGCACTGACATAAATTAGCATTACTATGGCAAACAAACTTAAACTTTTAGTTTGTAAAATAAGTGAGAGTGAAGAATCCTTCCCAGGGTGTCAACACCTCTAGCACACTACCTGTAACGTCAACTCCATCATTGTGGCCACTAGCATCATACCATGTACACATTTTTGTCAGCGCCAAAGGCATTGGCATCCTTAGGCCAACCCCACTATAGATGATGCCATGAGGCGGTGGGGGTGTTCAACTGGTTGTTGGTCCCTTTTTTGTTAAATGCATTAAGAAACAGAGTTAAGTTGTATGTTTACCTCCAGGCTACTGAAGTCCCAATTGTTCACATAAAGCAATGAATCATTTATGATTCTTATCACAGGGCATGATCAGACTGACTGATTAATTCTCCTGTACCTATGATTTCTTCCCCAAGTTCTGATACTCAGCAAAGTGACATTGAAATAAATCTGAAGCCTGAGAATAACCTTTCATGTCTTTGTCATCATCAACTTACCAAGGCTCACTAATAACATCACTTACGACCAGAATTGTTGCCCTCAGCTGAACAGTTACGTTTTATTGCCGCCATCTATAACCAAAGTGCCTGGGTGATGCTCAGTTGCGAGACTCATTAAGGAAACACTCACGAGGCCACAGCCTTGCCGGCTCCTGATCCCTCCTGGGCAGGGATCGGCAGCCCCAGGGAATCGTGCACAAACTGACACCTTCCCACCTGCACACTGGTGGGTCACCCCTGCACACTGCTTGTCACAAATTTGGGGCCTGTGAGATCAGCTCATACCACCTCCCCCCTGCAGCACTGTAAGGGATGTGCTAAGTCATTAGATGCAGAGGGGAAATCAGGGGTGGGTGGGGATACTTGTGCCTGATGCAAGCATTGGCATTGACTCTTACCTCCCTCAGGATTTTGAAGGACTCTGTCAAGGCCTTGTTCACAGTCCCCACTCCTTTTGCCTGCAGTTCATCCACCAGCTGCTTGAAGTGCTGGCAAGCAGAGAAGGGAAAAGGCAGCAATAAGTTGCAGGCAGGGTTCTCCCTTTGACTAGGGGAGGAAAATGTAACCTGGAAAAGCCTGTGCCATTGGGATCCTGATCCTTCACCAATGCTGGCAGGGCAGTACAGCACAGCGCCATGATGGATGGAGGTGAGAAAGTCAAGTGACAGCTCCATTGGCAGTGCCATCATGTTGCACCTTTGCCCATGCAGCCACAGCAGGACTGCATTTCTCAGCCTGTGGGCTGTGAGCCATTGGCAGTCCATGAAACATCGTGCAAGGCACAAAACTGTTACAAATCAGACTTTCCCTTATCCACTCCTTCAGGAAAAAAAAAAACCAACAACAACAACAAAACATTCCTGTACATGAAAGAGCAACAGGATTGGGGAAAAGAAATAATTTGAATGCTTGTCTACTACTTAAGGGACACTAATCTGGTTGTAAACTAAACTCTCAGAGAGTGCTCTTTGCAAGATAGTGTCCAAAAGGCTTGGGGATCCTTTGGGAAACACTGCAGGAGACATCACCCTCTGGAGTCATACTCTGTGACCCAGGGCTAAGCTGGAAAAGAAATTTGGAGAGAAATCTAGTTGTTGAAGACATGGAGGGATGTGCTGCCTCTGTGATATTAATATAGAGAGAAAAAGGAAGAAAAAAACCCAAACTACCGAACAGTAAGAAGAGCTAAGAATACAAGTCAGCCCAGAGTGGTGGAGCAGCTGAACGCAGGCTGACCACCTCGAGGCTGCTGAGCCCTCCTGGATCAGAGCAGGAAACCCTCTCACCAGAGAAAGCTCGCTGCCGAGTCTGTTGTGACACAGGGAAGCTGGTTGCTGCTGTTTAGCTAGCCAGCTGACCCTGTGTTAAAGCAGCTTTGTGTAAGCAAAGGTGAACCATGGAGCCAGCACACACCATGGAACTGCTGCTTGTTTCTGAAATGCAAACCTAAACACTTCTGGGAGATGGTTGTTTCTTGTCCCTGCGGTTTCATGTCACAGCATCTTGACCCCATGTACTTCTTACATTAAGAGAGCTACCTGAATAACATCGATAGGAGTCTGGTACTCACCTCTCTGTTATCTCTGTCTGCTTGGACCAGGATACCCTTAAAACAGGGCTCGATAAAGTGAACATAATCATTGTACTGCAAAGAGAAAATGAGAAGAAAGGGGTTGTAATAGGAGAAAATTCACAAAATGTGTTCACATCCTAGGTGGATGTTCAGAAAACAGTATGGAGCATTATGCCATTTTATATGTATTTCCCTTAACAATTGCTTATAGTGATCATGGCAAATTATGATTTTGATAAATCTTGTATTTGTTTAAATAATGCGTTAATTATGGTGTTTTGCTGAGTTCTATTTGGGCATATCTACACATCCAAAGTTACTTTTTTTCCCCCACTTACACTGTAGAGATTTTCTCCACGCTCTATTATCTTGTGCCCCTGGCCTTGCTTCTAGCACTATTTGCACATGTTTTTGACTTCTGGAGACTTTGTGAGTCCCCAGTCCCCAGCTGAAGCTTGCAAGTGGTTTTGTAGCGTAATGTCTGATGCCTCTGGTGCATGGCTGAACGATAACCTATCAAGTTACCGCACATCCACCAAACTACGATAATTAGTGGGGTATATGCTTCTAGCCTGATACATAGTGAGGTAAAACACACCAGTGTAAACCTTTTCCTGCAAGGTTCAGAAGAGCAATTCATAAGAGCAGGGCTAAGAGGCCACTGATGCTCAGCTGATCAATAGGAGCTTAGGTCAGGCTATAATGTGTCTGAGCCAGTAGGTTCTTGGTGTGAATACAGTAAAGGAATATATATTATGTGCTCTTCCTGGGATTATTTTTGAAGAACAGATGATATTTCAAACTCCTTAATGACTTCCCTCCATTTTTCTGCCAACACTCTTAAGTCTTCCATCTATCCAGCCATATAAAGACAGAGCTGTCACCACTGGAGTTTCTAACTGTCTTACACAATAAGAAGCTATCAACAAAAAGTAGACTTTATACCTCAGTGACCATGCCCCGACAAACTTTTATAGAAAGGAGCCTGGGAAAAGGGATGGTGCTTGAATTAGCTTTGAAAAATTAGGTGAGCAGCCATTTGCCTTTGACCTGACACCAAACCCCCCAGTCTTGGCGTGGATCATGGAAAAGTTTTGCTTTCTGTGGTCAGTGGTGTTGGTTCTCTGTGGTTAACCAGCCCATCCTTATCCTGGCCAGGGCTCAAAAAAAGGAGAGAGTAACACCAAGGCAACCTGACCAAACTCCATGCAGGCCTGTGCAGATCGACTCTGAACTGGATTGAAGCTCTGCAGGATGCTGGTGTGCAAAAAGGCGTATGGTAGTAATTTTCTAGCCTGGAAACATTATCCTGAGGATTATACTGCTACCGGACCCAAACACAGTATTATGCTATGCTATGTTAATTGAATTTATTAGCTCAGGTCCCTGTTAGCTCAGGTGTCTCTCTACACCACTTTGTTATCTGTTGCAGTCACATCCCTAAGTAAGCAAAAAGATGCAGCTGACATCCTTCATAAAGAGAGAGTGAAATGACTTAGCAACCTCCATGCTGACCACGCAAAGCTGGCTTCCCAAGGGTAATTAATTTTAATCCCCCATCCAACACAGGTACTAAGTGTTGTAGTCACATCACTGTAATGCCTGTAGTTTGCTAAGGGGACTGAAGGGTCGGTATGAGGCACAAGGAAGACAACTCAGCACTGGAAATGGGACATACTTACTGCAATGATGTTGACAAAGTCATTTTCTCCCAGAGTATCTAAAATGGTTATGATGGTATGTTTAGCAATGGTCATCCGCAGGCCCTTCATGCTCCCACTGACGTCCACAATGATGACAATGTCCTTGGGAGAGGTGGCCGCTTGGATGTACCTTTACAGAAAGAAGAATATAAAGAAGCAGGGTGAGCGTATGGGGAGGAGAAACGCTGGGTGTGCTGCTGCCACATGATGCTAGCCGCAGCGTAACATGCACCATGAGCACAGCTATCCAGCAACAGGGTCAGGCTGGGAATCCGATGGGTCCCTTCCTACCAACCTGTCTCTCCCACCAGCCCCAGCATCTCACTTCCCACATTGGCAAGTGCTGGGCCTGCTGCAGACATATGTCCAGATTAAGCCAAGAGCAACAATTGCTAAAGCCTCCTTTAGCCATGCTGAGAAGACCGAGTAAATGCCCCGTATTTCTGGAGTCTGAACAGCCCTGTCCCACAGGTCACAGAATTATAAGGAGTCTGGGACAGAGGAAGGATACACTGGTGGCAATTTCCATGTGGCATGTGCTAGATGCCACATGGAAAGCTGGTGCTGGCAGGTGGTAGGGCTTCCTAACCTGCGATTGCCTTCATTTATGTACCCCTCATCTCTTGCAGGAGCAGCATGGGGCAGTAACTGCTGATTAGAAACTCACCAAGGTGTCACCTTGGAAAAGAGGAAGAGAGGAAGACTGTAAGGTGCTTTGGCCAAGTCTCTCCAAAACTCTTACCAGCCACGATTCCTGCAGTCGAATGAGATGACTCCGTTCTCATCTGGTAACCACTTTATTCCTGAAGGGAGCAGCAAAAGGAGCAATCAACAACAGACAGGCAGGCATCTGGTCCCCCTCCCCTGACACCCGCACGTCTGCTGTTCACTGCTGAGACTCAGCTACCCCGCAGGGGCATGGAGGTCTGGCCAGCAATAGTAGCGGCCACTCTGCAGAAATACAAGCAGAGCTTTGCATGGTCTTTGACAGTTCTCAGCAAACTGCTTATTAAATTTCTATTTAAAAAAATGTATGTAGGCATAGTCTGTTTGAATTTGGGGAGCAATTGCACATACTTTGAAATTTTTGCCACCTTGATGTAGTTCTCGACAACATCTTTTTCTCCCCAAGGGTGGTTGAGAGCATAAAAAAACAGCAGCAGTGACAGGGACGTGTCCCAGTTTCCCTGCTAAAGGCTCTGTTCACAGTCATCTCTGCTTTCCCCTTCCACAACACGTGACAGGTCGCAGAGCAAGGGCATGCAGCCATCTGATGAAGGGGCCACCAGGCCAAGCTACAGCTGTGGAGGATCTCCTGGGTTCCTCCAAGCACGGGGCCTCCCTCTTGTGCCATGACCTTACGTGCCGCTTGCAGCTGGCGAGTGGATAACAAGTCAGGCTGACCAGCTGTATCTGCCACGTGTAGCCTCGGAGATGGAAAGAGGCTGTGACCGCCACTAAAAGCCACTGGGGAGCATGAGGCAGGGAGTCCTCCTGCAGCCTCTGCACCCTGTCTACAAGATTCACAGGTCCTGCCATGGTGTTTTGGGTGCTTTTTGGAAGGCAGCCTGCCTGAGGCACACCGCTGCAAGCAGACTTCTTTGGGATTGCAAGGGCAACGTGCCTGGGGGGCTGGTCCATGTGGGAAAATGGGGTTTATGCCTGCTGTGGACACTATTCCTTCAGCCTAAGTGGCAGCAGTCAATGCACTGAATATTTTGCTCACTGCACCCTGCCCTTCAGGGGCCCACACTGCCTCAACCTTTCCAGATGGCACAGACCCTATCCTGCAAGACTGTTGTGTTGTTCTGAAAGAGTGAGGCCGATCTCTGCTCTTTTACCTGGGTAGAGCCTGAAGAACCCAGTGGAGCTGCCGAAGTACTGCCAGGTCAGCGTGGGATCCCTTTCGAAGTTGTCCACAAAAATAGGATTCAAGGCTTCTGACATGTAAACGCCGTTCAGGATGTCAGGGTCTGCAGGGGAAAGAATAGAAAATGTGGAAAAAAGTGTGTGAGAGGGGGAGGACACCCACCACCTCCGATGGAGGAGCGGGATGGGAACAAAGGCAGCCCCAGGAGGAACGCAGCCTTGTCCAAAGCTTTGATGTTGGGCAGGGAATTGGGCACGTCATTCAAATAAATCCTGGAGGACAGGTTACCACCGGCTACTACAGGTGATCTCAGCTTGGTCATATGCTATTATCCCCATTTCTCTTTACAGCCTTTTCTGCCCTTGGGCATTACCTCTGCTTGGAAGAGGGCTCCAAGAGACCCAGGAAAACCAGCACCGTGCTGAGCACAACTGGCACACCACACAGGCAGGACTCAGCTCCTGCCTAAGAAGGGATGTGTGGCTGCTGTAAGGCAACTGCCTGATGCACCACTAAATGGAACAACCTTTCTACAAACAGTGTTTAAATTTACGCTAGATGTAATTACCTAAGACAGAGGAGCTCTAGGATTTACATGCAATTTTTATATGTCTCTCTCCTCTTTTCACCAATATTTCCTTCTTTTTTCTTTGCCTGCCCTTTTTTCCACAAAGCCTGAGCTGTCCTCCTTTGCCCCTGATCTCATCAGAATCAATAGGAAGTTGCAGACTTGCAAGAACTTGTAAGAGGCAGTGTATATTTGGTGCCTGTGTTGACTCATTGCCTCAGGAGAGCAAACAGAGCAGCAGCAATAGAAACAGGGCATTTCAAGAAACTGGTCATTGCAGGATTAACTGTATTAATGTTGAAAGGGATGGGACTTTGACCTACCGCTTCCTGTTTAGTCACTTTACTAAAGGCAGCCTTGGTCAAAATAGGGGAAAAATTTAACTGTGGCTGTCCAGCGATGAGGCCAAAGTAACTCATGCAGGAAGGGAGCCAGAAGAGCTGTGGAGAGCCAAGCTTGCTGCTGTTTGCAAGACAGGGAGCGAGTACTGCCAGGCACTGCTCCCAGGAGGAGCCCCGGGAACAGAAGCAGCCTTCCTCCTCCTCCTCCAGCCATAGCCAGAGCAACTGGATGGTTTGTGTCAAGCTGTACAGGCAAGAAATCAGCTAGCTGAGCAGTGCCTCTCTGCTGTCTCTGAAAGCGGCCATTTGGCCACCTCTTTCCGTATGCTGCTGCGAGCAGCAGCCTATTTCATGTAGCTCTGCTGTAGCTACCCCACAGCCAGCTCTGCTGGTGGTTCTATTGTGAGCAAGATTTTAGTGTCTGGGGCTGTCAGACCAGATGGAATTAATTGGAAATCATGGGAGAAATAGAACTCCCTCTGTTGTCCCTCTAAATAACATAGCAGTTTTACGCACAGTCACCAGTGCCTGCCCTGTCTGGTCCTGCAGATTATAAATGAGCTCCACCTATGAGAGAAGTAGTGGCGCTTTTTTTTCTTGCCAAAACCCATGCAAGGGGAAGAGCTGACAGGGAGGCAGGGAAGGAGCCAGTTCGGGCAGCTTCAAGTGTTGGCCAAAAAGAGCAGTAAACTTAAGACAATTGCAACTAGTGTCTCAGCCTGCAGCTTTGGCAGTGTGCTGACCAGCTTGGAGATGGACCAGTTTCTGGTGTGTAGCTGGAGTGGTGTGAATGTGCAGGGGGAGCAAACACAGTCCAGACACAGAGGAGGCCATGTGGGCCTTGGTGCCTCCCTGGGCTCCTGCAGCTGCCAAAGTGCCAAAAGCTTGCTGAGAACAGAAAATAGCCCATAACAGTCATGTCCCAGTAGCAGCTGTGAGTTAGCCCCAGTCTCCTATGGATATGCTTACTGGGAATTAAATGTCACCGTGAGGTGTTAGTGCCTCGTAACACAAAGGTACTTGGGGTCTAAATTCTTGGCTGAGATCAGTGAGATTCTTGACACCGAAAGACCTTGATAGATCTGATCCTTTGTACAGAGTAACAATTGCCAATAAATTCACATCACTGTTTGCTTCACAGCGCCTTTGTTTGGGTAGATGAACTCTAGGAGACTATACTGCCTAAGATGGAGGACTGTCCATCATTGCAGCTCTTCCAAGAGCAGATTATACCTAAGCCCTGTCACAGTGACAGACTACAGCACAGACTTGACTGTGCCTTGGGACGGTACATTTCCAGCCCTGTTTTATTTTCTGTCAATTGTTTTTTTCTATTCCCATCTTTTCTTTCAGTATTATTACTGGTAGTTTCCACAGTAACTTACTAGTAGTTGGAAAGTAGAGGCCATTACCTTTGTTGTAGACATTGGTGGGGAGCTGGATATCACTGTATGTCGTGTTCACCAGTAGGTTATTGAAATGCTCATTTGGCTCCAAAATGAATTCGTCTCCAAGCTCCACATAATTGTCATTTTCATCCTTCTCATTAATCAGGAGAGAGTTATAGTAATCAAACTGTTGATGAAGACAATGGAAAAGAGAAAGGCAACAAGAGAGAATAAGACAGAGTATTACCAGCACTGCCTGAAAAAAACCCCACTCTTTAAGACATTAGAAAGGGACACCTGGAGAATTTGGGCTTCAAGTAGGATCAAGATGAGCAGCAAACAAGAGCCATTACCAACTGAAAAGTGTCAAGCTGCCCAAATGATCATTTCTGCCCAATTTCTTATTGGCAGGTGCCCACATGACTGAAAGCACGGTTATAACCAGCAGCAGAAGAGCCACCTGAGAGCGAAGGGACACAGTGGCAGACTCCTGTGGTCCCTTAGAGGTATTTAAATTACTAGCCAGAGAGGTGGAGTGTCTCACTGATCTGGCTCCCAGGTTTGCTACAGGGCATGCCGATGCTGACCTTGCTTGTCCTGTCTCTACAGCTGTCATTTACTGATGTACATCCAGCCAGGATTATCCCCTCACTCTGTCAGTCCAAGCAGCAGGCACTTGTCAAGAGCAAAGACAGAACAGAAGGTGCTCAAAGACAACACAGTTTTCCCCCTGTGAAGGCCACTGGGGATTTAGCATCTACAGTCACTTTGGTACCTTCAGGACACTTCACCCTTGGGTAACAGAGGTTTTTAAGATGTTTTTGTTGATTTTATCTGAAGGCAAAGGTTATTTAAGGGTTTATGTTCAAGCACTAACAGTACTCGGTGGGTGCAAATTGTGAGTGTGAATACAGAGTCATGTACCTCAACTCACCCATGACCCTTACTGTAAATGCAGCTTGACCCAGATAGCTTGACTGTATTGTGATTCTTAAATGAAGAGGTAGGAGAGGTGAAATTGGTAACTAGCTTGATTTCAAGAAGTGTTTTAATTCCCACCCTTTCCTAGAACGGAGGGCTGTACTTGCTAAGCACTCTTTGCTTGTACTATGGACAGTAGACTTCCTTTATCAGAGTTTTCACTCCAGTTCCCTTCACCAGCAATAATCCCATAGCTTGGCTACAACAAACGGTTACTAAGAGAAAGCCAAATTGCTGTGACAGCACCAAACTTTCACCTAATAGGACATTCTGACAAGTGAGTGTCTGCAGAGTAGAGAAAAGATGACAGGAGCTGTTGAGAAAGATGGTGAGAAACTCAGCTTGTTGGGATTAATGGTTTGCTGTGGGTATTTGTAACAGCATCCTCCTCATTGCTCACACACACTCAATATTTAGCTCATTTTCCAGGCAAGTAAACCACAAAGTGCCAGCTAATTTGCAGTAATGCGTCACATAATGACAACATTGCTGTGCAGTAAATGTAATGCCAATAACATCACATGACCCCACATCTTCCCACATCCTGCCCCTCCCGGGGACTAATCTCCTTGGTGTTACTAGGTTTGGGATATGCCAAGGGAGCCTCTTGCTCACACTGGTTTCTAGACAAGCTGAGCATCCTGAAGACAAGGAAACTCCTAGCCTGTCCTGGAACCTGTGGGGGCTGGGTGCTGCTAGGTCTGCCTTTTGGCTAGTCTTGCTGAGGGTGCATGTCATATTTTGTCACTGACCAGGATAAACTTACCTCCAGTGAGGAGTTGTACTCGTGGTTCAGATCTGCATCTTCTGCTGCTTCCACCAACCTCTAATGCAAGAACACAGAAATAAAGATGAGGCGGTGCTGTGGAAAGCTCTCCAGAAGCTCTTCCAGCTGTATCAGCCATTCACACAGTTAGTGAAAAGATGCATGACTGCCTCCTTCACCACAACAGAGTCATGTGATTATAAATTTCCCTCCTTGTCTGCTGACCTGTCATTCTGTGCTGCAACTTTACAGCTTGGAAGGTTACATTCACATCTATTTATTGCCAAGTATATTCACACCTACTTACTCCAGAGTCCCTACTAAACCCCTGAGCAATCTTAGATATCTCAGGACATATACAAACAGAAACATGTCCATTTAGAGAAACAACAGCCAGAGATTTAATTTCATTTTCCACGAACCCTTCCAAAAAGCCATGGGAAAGGCATTTCAGACCCAGCCTGATGTCAGTATCTCATCAAAGCAAAAGGCCTTGTGGGAGTCTCAGTCTGGTATTGTTACTGAGACAAAGACCATGACTTGATTTCGTAAAAGCCTCAACAATGCTTTGGCCATTTATAAGCTCTTACCATTTATGGAAGGCAATATAATCAACTAGTATTCTCCCACATGATGCTTCAGGGCACTAATTCTCAATTGGTACAGACTGGGAAGGAATCCAGCTAAACATGCACATGTTTTCAGAGTTGCACGATCAGTGACAGTCTCAGCAAAACTACTTTTTTCCTCCTTCACAAAGGATAAGGCAATCCAAACATAGGAAAAAATCTGGCTATGAATTTAATGTTATGGGCCAAAGCTCTGGGTCTAAATATGCCCACATTTCACTTTGAGATTCAAATGATGTGTTTCTGGATGACTTTTCCACATTAGACGCCTTAAACAGTCAAGGCCTTGTGACTACAGAAATATGCTTTTCATTGTGGGTAAGTATAAGGGAATATGATAGATCCTTAGATGCGAGAAGTAAGAGGGGCCATAGTGATTTACCTGCTCTGATCTCCAACACAGCAGCAGCTAAAGACCTCTTGCACCTCCTCCACAATTTCCCAGCTGGAAATTCAAGCACCTTCCTTGCAGCTCGTGTTCAGGGGGCTGCAGGAATTTCCCTTGAGCCACACACACACAGCTGAAACAGGCTACTAGTCTTCAGTGGCCAAAGTGCGTTATGCAAGGATGAACTTTATTTTCACTTGTGAGAGGATTTTTCTCTTTAAATAGCTCTTTTCTCCTAAAAGAGTGTTCGTTCCTTCATATTTATTCCTAGACTTTGTTTTTAATCTTGTTTCCTACTTTGGGCTGAGGGAGAAGCCAGCATTCCCTTGTCTGAACGCCCACATCCTCCCACCAGTGTCTACTTAAAGCTCCGAGTGAGCAGCCAGCTGCATCAGCAGGCATTTAGTTCAGCAAGGAAGTCCTCATGCAACCTCTGCGCCCACGTGCTGCTGGTACAGGCAGGAGGCCTGCATCTACTGCTTTGGGGCTGACAGGAGAGGACTTCTTTCCCATAGTCCCCATGGTCATACCTCAACAGCTTCGACCTTCCTGCGGAGCATGCTCTCCATTTGCTCTGAGAACTTCTTCACCAGCTCCAAGCCATCCACCTCTTTGATCTTCAGAGTTGGCTCCACATCTTTGTACTTCTACCCAAGGGAAAGCAGAAAATCCTGCTCAGCAGGAGGCTCATAAGGAGAGGGGTGAGTCTCTTATTGTTAGCTGGGCATTGTCTTCAGTGAAGAAAGGTGTGTTGAAAGAACTGGTCTGATTTATCACCTTTTCCCATCTTTGCCTTTCCTCCCTTTTTACCTTGTAATTTGAGTGTGTGAGATCACTGGCCATAACACAAAGCATTTTGACTAAGTGAAAGCAATCAATCTGATTGTGAGCTTCTGGCTGTTGAAAACAGCAATGTTCCTGAAGCTATTAGTGCCTACGAACAAGAAAGAGAAGCAGAAGGCCGACTTTTGAAAACCTAAAATACACATTGTGTTCACATCCATAATAGCGTTATATGCATCACATACCTGAAATCTGCCTAAAACAGAAGGAAGGGCAAGGGAATGGAGCTGTCATTACATTGCCTCCTATGTCATATGTGCCTTGGGGCACTAGTGGGAGAGATTTCATGCTAGTGCATGTCCTGTCCTCCCACAGTGCCATAATATCTGCAGGGTAACTTGTCAGATCTGCAGCAAGAAGGGTGTGCTCAGTGCTTAGGTGGTAGACTGCCAAGGAAAGGTCAGCAAGACAGTTATGACGCTATTTACTCAGCATGCATGAGCATGCTTTGGGCCAGGAGCAGCAGAGGCGATTCCCAGAAACTAGAATTTATGAGCATAGCTACTTAGTGCTGCCTCCACTGGGAGAGATGCCGTAATGAGGAGGATCTGGATCTGACAACTTTAGAGATAACCAGTTTCTTCTGACCATGTTTCATATAGTCTAGACATTAAAAACCCAAGCGTACTCCCAAACTGGGTAACTGTAATCTGCCTCCCTAAATCTGTCCTTTCAAGACTGGATACAATGGCCTTTATTTCTCCTTTTCAAAAAATCCCAAAGCTAAGACAGATAGGTAGAAATAAAGTGAAAAAAACCTGCAAAAGGACACAATATGATTAACCTATTTCAGAAAAGACAGAGCCTTATCTCCCCAGCAATGTGGCAGCACGAAGGCAACAGATTGAATTTCTCTGGTCCCTCATCATCATTTCTCTCTGCAGTGTATACACACCCCCTCCATCTTCATGTTTTATCAGCACCATAGCAGCACTTTCAGCCAAGGCTGGACTTCTCGCACTGGTACAAAATGAGATGGTGAAAAGGGTAAGGGGGTGGCAGGGGCTTTAGTAGCACTTTTGAATTGGAAGTCAGTGTGGGGGGAACGACTTTGCAAGTCTTTAGGGTGACCAGTGGAGCTCCTTTTGTTCAAGAAGCTCGTCAACCATCCAGGAGGGCGGCTGAGCACAGGCGGAGTAAGAAATGCCTTGAGGATGGGGCAGGCTGAGGAGGTCAGACAGAAATAGCAGCAGCATCCAGCCTGCAGCAGGCATGGCGGGGAGGCTGCTTGCTCTGTCTGGTGTGATTAACAGCAAGGGTTTTACTGGATTAAAAATGCCAGGCCTTGCATCCCCTCTGCTGTGGCTGGGTAGCTGGGACGGACGGGGGGAGGAGGAGGAGGTCGGGTTGAGCACGAAGGTTAATGTAACCATGCTACTGAAAGAGGGATGTGCAACAACAACCCCCTGACTGAAGTCCCTGGCTGCTGACGAGACCGCAGCACACATCCCAGCTGGTGCCTGCCCCATTTAGCTCCATGTCATGGTTTGGTCAGGAGAGAAGCGATCTCTGCCAGGCTAGGCTTTAATCAGCTCCCCCCCCTCGGGGGAAGGAGGGTAATCTCTCCTGGGAAAGCTGGTGAAGGGGAGGGGGACCACACCAGCACGGGCAAGCACATGCTTTACAAAGTGACCTGGCATCGGTTATCTTGGGTCATATCTTGAATTAAAAAGAATAGGGCTCTTTACCTCTCAATCCTTTTTTAAATGTGCTTTTGACACATTGACAAGTAGATATTAATAGGTTAAAAGTAATCATGAGCAGTCTGCTAATACCATACACATCTCCGCTTCAGGAACTAGCGAGAGCTGGGAAGGGGAAAAAAAAAAAAAAAAGAAACCACAAAAAACTTTCTGCAAATTTTCGGTTGGCTGCGAGGAATAAACCAGGTTTGAGCTCAGATCCCCTTTGAGCTTTTTTCCTACAAACAATCCAGCAAACCATTTTGTATCTGTATTCGTGCCACTAAAATCTCCTGCTATTAATGAATATTCACTGCAGGAATTCCTAAAGGTGGGCAATGAAGTAGTACCTGTGATTTCAACACTGTTACCAGACACTATGTCTGAAAGTACACAGCAAATGTCAACACAGGTGCTTGTAGCTGACCAAGATTAACCTGCATGACCTGAGCTTAGTGTTCAGGTTATCATATCATTATAATTTACAGGACAGGGATCAGCTGCAGGCTTGGGAGAACTGGCTGAAAGGATCTGATGTTGAAAAGAGGCCAAGAAGTTAACTCTGATCTAACAGAAAATCTTTTCATATTCATCTAGTACTTAGTATTCCCTTAAAACAGCAGGAGCAATTCATTAAGATTCTCCTTCTGCAGTGATGGGGGTGGTGATATGAAAGTGGAATATCCAGGATTCAGTATCCTAAGCTTTATCTGTGAACAGAGATATGTCACCAAATATATTTTCTTGTTCCCACCTCCATGAAATTTAGCCCATTGAAGTACACAGTGTTGCATTACTCACTGCTAGTGAAACTATATTAAGAGTGTGAAAGACACTCCTTTCATCTTCACCCAGGAAAATGTCTTAACTTTAATTTGTCTGTTCTTTGCCATGGAGTTATTTGTAGTGCTTTCTAGTAATTACATAGCTGGAGCCAAGCCCTGCTGTCCTTTCTCAGCCCTATCCACTGGGGAAGCCAGTCAGCACCTCAGCTACAGAAGGAAACAGGAGGCAATTCTCAGAAACACTTACAATGCATCGTTAACACAGAAGAAAAGTTAAGTTTTGGCTCTGCTGAAGTTGGTGGTGTTTCTGTCACTCAGAGGCAAGCCCTGAGACACCCAGAACCACTGTGGTGTCCTCCTGGCATGGCTGACATCGGTGGCCCCAAGCCTTTGGTCCCTGCCTGACCAACTGCAGTAGCAGGACTTTGGCAAACAGACCTAATAAGTCACAGGTTCAAACTTTCTGTTCCTTAGAACTGGGAGATGCTGCTGCCCTCCCCCTATTCAGCCTTTCACATTACATCTTTACTCCAGCTGTATTGCCCTCAGCTGTCCTAGACCCTGGCCAGCATTTTAATACAGATACATCATCTGAGTCAGGTTTAAGTGCACAAGCTTATCTCAAACTCTGCTGCATAGTGGTCAAGAGAATACAATAAATGCTTCAGCCATCAAACCAAAGCCACTTTTCATCTTTTGCTACCTCTGTGAGGTTTAATTTGATGCTATCCTGACTGCTTGCGACAGAGAGACACCTGGGGGCTTTCTCAAAGCTCTGTGATCCAGGGTGAGAACTTGCCCTTGTGAATTCAAGAGAGGTCTACTGGTTCACCAGGTGTCTGGGAACAATAAAGCCTGGTAAGAAACTGACCATTGGGGTTTACAACATGATATTAGGGTTCTTCTAGGGGAAACAAATAAAGCCACAAAAGAAAGTTTATGCTAAGTACTAAAGAGAAGGTTTACATGCAAAACATTCAGTAACTGAAAAATTATAGCTCTCAAAGCAACAATAAGCTGGTTACTTCAAGGCTATTAGGCACAAGGGAGACATGAAGTAAAACATTAAAGGTGCTGTTGTCTCTCAGTTTGTATTTCCTCAAAGGCAAAATGCCCATTGACTTAAAACAAGCACTGAAGAGAGAGTTCTCTGGGCCTCCGCACTGTGCTCCCCACCCTTCTGCTGGTCTGCACATACTCATGCACACAGAGAAATATTTCATGTGAAAAAGAGGCAATGGCCCAAAAAGAGAAAAGGTGCCTGGGGAGCACATGCATTTGGATTTCCAGATTTTGGTGCCTTTGGCTCCCCAAGCCTGACTTGCCTGCAATATGCACCAGTGTGGTTATCTATGTAAGGCTATTTGGGGTCTGCCAAGGTGCATCTCATTAAAATGTTGCCTATTAGTAAGAGATCTATCTGTGTCCTCCTGAAGCTGTCTCCTTCAGCACTCTTAATCGTCAGGGATGCAGAGGGAGCCCTCCAGGATGGTTCCTGCTTTGAGATACTGGTTTGTAAGAAGGCATCTGACCCAGTGCTTGCTAAAGAAGTGGATGCTGAGAGAAGGACTGAAGAAGTGGGTGCTGGCTGGTCCTCCCTTATTTCCCTAGTCCCAGAGAAATAAGGGGAAATGAAAGAGCTCAAGAAGTGGGACTTAAGGGTTGAAAGATAAACCTGAGCTGTTTAAACTGCTTCAGTAACATTGGAGCAGGGCAGGACATGAATTTGGGAGATTACTCCTTGCTGGAGTGTTAACAGAGCAAGGCTGGATCAAGCTCATCTGTACCTCGTGCTGGAAACGGTGACAGTGACTCGCTGAAGGACATTTTCCCTCTGAGTCACAGGTGATACTGTGTCCTACGCAAGGGTGTCCAGAGACTGTGCAAAACACAATCGATCTGTGCTGCATCCAGGCCCCAACACATGCAAGAGCAAACCAGACACCTTCTCCTCTCCAAGAACAAAACCATGTGGATGTGGACTGGGGCAGGCAAGTGCAATTATTTTATGAGGCTGTCAGACCACCAGGGAAATACAATTCTGCCTTGACTCCCCTTGACACGAATGCTAGATTGGATTTGGCTACATTCAGGCTTCTTTTTTTTCATCATAAATGAGTTTTCTTCGCTTCCAGTGAATTACACCAAAAGCTGACAGAGTTGTGAATTTTTGTTCAATACCTCGTTGCCACGACTTGTCATTTTTAGGGGTACTATACTAGCGTCTACAGGTCTCATATAGCCCCTACCCTAAAGGGATCAAGATCCCAAGAGACAAAACACATAGTGTGGACAGGGAGAGGTGAAATGATCTGGTGCAACATCTCCAGAGGGCCAACACAGCACGGTTGTCTTTCAACCCACTGTAGTGCCATGTCTGTCATCCTCGGCCTCCATTATTAACTTTGACAACGCTGGTATTTTCAAGCTAACTCCTGTTCTCCTTAGTCCCACTGACTTTTAGACCTTAAGGAACACGAACTCCCTTAATCTGTTAGTAGAAATAGCCACAGAAGCAGTGTAAATTGGCTGTGTTGAAGCACACCTATACAGCATCACACACAGACACCTGACTATCAAATAACCCCAGTCTGTACCTCCTGCCCACTGGAGCTCCAGCACCCACCAGAGATGCCTTAGCACGTCACTTTGCCTCTGGCAATTATTGCTTGGGGACCCCGTGGAAGAATAGGCAAAGAAGAAGCATCATCAAAACTGCTAAAAGCCAAACTTTTGCCTGCATCTGTATCCCACCGCAGCTGCCTCAAGATTAGTGCTTGAAGTACCTATATCAGTGCTGACAGGGTTTTTTTTTTATTGCATGGTGGCACATTCTTCCTAAGAAGAGCTGATGATCAGTATAAACCTTTGTGATGGATGCTGAAGGCCTTTCTTGGCCAAGCCTACCAAAGGTGATGGTGCAGAAGATGGTCCGTTACTCCAGACAGAAAGCAGCACTGTGGGGAGAGGGAAACAGAGGGCTCACCAGCAAGGCAAGGCAAATGATATCCAGATTCATTTTTGCACTGGGATATGGGTGCTATTGCTAATAAGAGGACAGAAATCTGACACCTAGAAAGCCTAAGAGGCAACGAGTGGCTTGTGTTGAAGAGAAGGATCAGAGAAAGAGTAAAGAAAGGAACCAGGTGGCCACATGAGGTGTAGAGTGGACTGCATCCCTTCAGATGCACTCAAGGTGTGAGATCACATATGCTTGCCGTTTGAGCAGCCCCCTGAGCAGCATTTGGGAGGTGTCAACCCATACAGCTGCAGTGCAAGCCTGAAAGAAGAGCAGCCATTTTCCTCTGACTTCAGGAATCAAGGTAACAGGGCAACTTCTCTATAGCTGCAAATGGGAGCATTTATTTAAAGCCCCTGGAGCCACACACTTGAATGCTGGTAGAGTTTAGTACAACAGTGCCTGTTGTTCAGTGACCAAGCCAAGCAGAGCTCTGCGCCTCTGGAAGATCACATCTTCCAGGGCACCTGCCTCAGAAACCCTGTCCAAAGCAGAGTTATAAAGGCACAATTCAAAGAACTGATGAGCTACTGTGGAAAGACAGATGAGGAAGAGAAAGAAATAGGAGTGACAGCTGGAGAACTGCAGGAGGGGACAATAGGGTAACAATGAGCAGGTGAGTAATGAGCAGGAGTAGAGGGATGATATGCACTTAGGAAGGGAGGAGTGAAGGGTCAATACAGAAGGGCATGAAACCATCAGAGGGGAAACATGAGGAATACTGTTAAAAAGTATTTTTTTAAAATGGGACAATTCAGGTGGCGTTTGGCTATAGCTAATGAAAACAGGAAAGGCACTAGATGGATCTCCCTCTCCAGTTCAGAGAGAATGGCCACAAGGCATCACTCCGTGCTTGTGGACATGAACCTACATGGTTTTGAAAGTTAGCTGGAGACCTGTGTGTTTTGCTTTCTTCCGCCCCAGGGGGAAACCTTGGAGGGCTACATGGGGAGATGCTGTGAAGCAGAGGGAACCCTCGCAGCTTTTGCCTACCTTCTGCAACAGGAGAGAGCCCGAATACCTAGTCACAATGGAGTACAGCTCCCCACCGAAGGCATCTGCCCAAGACTTCACCCTAAAAAGAGGCAAAAAGAAAATCCATATTAATAAGTCAAAGCCAGCAGACCTGCTTACTTCTTCAAACAGGGAAAACTCAATCTTCCTGAGTATGAACTCCCCCCATACTTCCCTAAGCCACTTAGTGACAATGGCAATGCTTTCTGCCCAGAATTGCTAGCCAGCCAAGCAGTAAGGCAGGAGGCAAGTGCTGCTCTTGGACAGTCTGCCCAGGACATTGGTCAGCGAGGAGAAACACTGAGTTCTGCTGCTCTCAGTCACTATGTTTTGACTCAGAGTGGAATTTGTCTCACTTAACTTCAAAGGTACAAAAGTTGTACATTTTGTCTTAGATATCATCTGATTTCCTCTATTGTTAGCGAAGTGAAATAAATAGCTCTTTGCAGACACCTATTTGTCTTCACTAATTGCAGACGGAGCCTGGGGTGAAGGGCTAGACACATAATGTCAAGACTGCTGAAGAGAAATAAGTATCAGACCTGAAAGAAGTTGTCAAGATTCACCCCTTGGATTCAGTTCCTAGAGCTTTGTGGGGCTGAGACTAACGAGCCAGACAAATTCACTGCTCTCAGTGGAGGTACTACAGCTTGATAATGCCAGAGTAGATTATGCACCTCTTCATTGTAAAACACCACTCACATTTATGCCATCCTGTAAATAATTGATGATAGCAATACCACATGGAGAACATAAGGATGTTGAAGAGCCGCCTGAACACAGAGCCATCCAAATCAAAATAGATGGCTCTCGTAATTGACAGAGCACTTCATCAGAAATCTGTTACATGATTCACATTAGGCAGTTCCACCTACATGCAGTTCCTTCAACAAGGATTCACTTAGGAGAGATTTATTTAATGGAATAAATGGCCTTCTCCACTTACCAGAATACACTACTTATTTATGGGGTGCAGAGTCTTACCTATGGCTTCTAGTAGATTTCTTCCAGTCCTAAGCAGACTTTAACCTCAGGCCCTGATTGCCCAGCGCATTGCACCACTTTTATGGCAGAATAATACACCAACATAGAGATGAGCTCTGGAGTAAAGCCAGCAGAGCAACAGTGGAACAATCACAACAGCTAGCTTTAGCCTAAGAAAGGCTGTTCAGGCTCCCCTCTTGCAAACAGAGACAGATAGGCAGCTATAGGGGATGATTTAGAGCACACATAAGGCTTCTGCTCTGAACTGTACCTCTCTCCACTGCCTATAAAAGGAGCATAATGAGAGTGAGTGCCTTTTTTAATCAATCCTTAACTGGCAATGAGGCATGCATTTCTAACCCTGAGTCTGATCTAGCACCAGCTGAAATCAATAAGAAGAAGGCTGCTTTTTTTCTTTTCTTTTTTTTTCTTTTGAATTTTCCTTTTTTTTTTTTTTTTTGCATTGTGCTCTGCATCATATTTTGACAGCCAGATGTTTTATTTCTTCATTTCATTCTTAGAGAAAAAAGAATACAGGTATTTGCTAGGAAATCAGGATTTATTGCCCCATATCAGAGTTATTCCAGCAAGCCTAGAGTAAAAGAGGAAACCAGAAACAGTGACCCCATGGGATGCATTCCTGTTTGTTGTAGTGACTAACGCATTCCCTGGGGTATGAGGATCTCTGAATCAACATTTAACTTGATGCCCATCTGCTGCTAGTTTATAACTTTTATGTATGAGATCATTTGTGTTGATATTAATTAATATTTCCCAGTCTCCTCACCTTTTACTATAGAAAAAGAGAACCTAAACATGAAGTTTGAGATAGTAATCTTAGAGGGAGGTTTATTTTTTACCCCTTTTTCCTCCCAAAAAAGTAAGATGCACGTGACCCTGGCCTTTCTGTTTTGTGTTGTGTCTGTGGACATGCGTGTGCCCCTATTCCTTACAGCCCTCATCATTTTTCAACCCAGCAGGGTGGAAGAGTCTGTGATATTAATTTCTGACTAGTGGGTGCGGTTGGGCAGCTTCAGCAGAAAAGTGCTATTATTGAGGTAAAAGGTCTGAAATACAAGCTTAGCAACGGTCAGTCAGTAGAGAAACCAGCCACAGACACAGTTTCACAGAAGACCCAGCCCTGTTGCTCGTGGATCTGCTTGTTTGTGAAGTCCTTAAGTCCACCATGACTTGGGATTCTCCTTTTTCATAAAAACAGGAAAAAGGAAGGTTGGTTTTTAGCCTTTGAGGCTGTGGCAAAAGAAGCCAAAATGTATGAACCTTGAAACTTCCAGTAACAGCAGAACTCGAGGTAAAAAAAGGTAGGGGTTTGTGTAATTTCGCGATTTCTATGCAAGTGCCCTGTGTGTTGGGCGTTCAGCCTGGGAGGGCTCTCCCAACCCACCTGAGACAGCAGCCTCATAGCCGCTTCTGAGCTGCTGCTCTGGGTGGAGGGCTGATCTCTCTCCTGGTCTCGAAGCAGAGGAGGAAGGAGGCTCAAAGTCAGGGAGGAGCAAAGAGAGCGCCAGAGACTGGCAGCTTTGGAGGGCTGGTTGGAAAGTTAGGGGGCACAGAGGAATGAGAGGGCACAAAGGTCCCGAAGCCCTGTGCGACAGGGCTGAAGAGTGGGTAATTAAAAATATACAGTGGCATTTCATGGAAGTTAAAAAGGAGGAAAGCAAAGAGGCAGAAACATGCTTGCATTTACATATTTAAAAACTAAAGGGAAGGAAGTGACCTTAGGGTACGGGGAAATTAAGGGCAGGCTGCTGAATTTAAATAAGGTTCCTTATATTTTTCATAAGCAAGTGAGAGAAAAGGTCAGTCTGAAATCCATCAGGTTGCAGAGAAATTTCGTCTGAAGTTGCTGGCTCTGTGAACTTAGGAGCAGACGTATAGAGGTGGTAGGGGCAGCCTAAAGAGGCTGTACCAGGTTGATCTTCACTTCTCCCACCAGCATTTCCCAATGTTTCGAGTACCCCAAGAAGCAAAGGCTGAACAGCCAGCCCCAAATCCTCACCATCCTTACACTTGCAAGCACTCCTGCCAATGCCATGGCCAGCTGATGAGAAGAGCCGTGTCCAGGAAGAAAGAGGAGGTGGTTTCTGTGCTGAACTTGCACCCCAGAAGCATTGCTAGTAACTGCTTGAGAAGGTTTTTGCACTGCTGGAGTCAAAGCTGAGTGAGCTTTTGCAAAGATGTGAATAAATTTATGACAAACTGAGCGTGGTGCAGCAAAGCCAGGCACGACTTGGGGAGAAGCACAGGCCTACTTAGCCTTGTGTCACTTAACTGTGATTGAACCCAGGTGGTGTTTAAAGGACTCTGGGTTTGTGTCTTCAAAATGTCCCTGCGTAATGTGTGGAGCAGGTCCATTTTATGCTGATTTACTCCCTTTAGTCCTCTGGCCAATGTGTGCTTCTACTGAAATTTTGTTTGAAAAGGGCAACTTTTGTGTTATAGTTAAATTCATGAGTGGATTTGAAACACCAGGGATTAATTCAGCTGTTAGTCTGGTTTCAGTACCAGGGGAGAAAAGCTCTTTTCCTATTGTTTATTCTTCATTCTTGTACATGAGTAAGTTCCAAACTGTGCAAAGGGACGTAACTGTTTTCTCAGTAGTAAAAGGCTGTCACATTACAACCAAAAACGTCAGAAAAGGATTTGGTCAGAGATCGCCTGCCTGTAATCCCTGCACTTCTATTCAGTGGCAAAAACAGAGGACAGGACAGGCCAGCTTCTTAATGCCACAGCTTTCAAAGCCAAAAGGTATTTCCATGCAGTATGTACCCTGGGCATGGAAAGTCAATTTTATTTTGCATGGTTTGATATTATCAGAAGTTGGATTTTATTCTGTATCCTTTTAATGAAGCCCAAATCAGAAGCACTTTGCGAAGGAAGGGCTTGACAATGCAGCCAGGAATAAAATTGGTGGCAGATTTTCCTGAGACTCCCTTGGCTAAATTCAGCACAACTCTCGGCAATCACATGGGCTGTATTGGTGAGCACATCTGCAAAGGTCTTATTGGCAATTTTTGATTATAAAACATTTTCTCAATCTCAGGAAAGGGCTTGAGCTGACTTTGGTCGGTTTATCGGACATTTCTCCTTCTGAAACTGGATGGCAGTGTTGTCTCCTCTCCAGACCACCCCGCTGTCCTGCGCAAACAGACTTATCCCAGCTCCAGAGAAGCTGCCCCACAACTTTTACCAATGGTGGTGCTGACATTTTTAATCCTTAAAGGATTAAACTTGCCTAAATCAGCTTAACAAGGTGAAGTTTTTATAAACTGGGTTTGCCGAGAGCTGTTAGCCTCCTGGTGGGCTGCTGGGGCGGGCTGCACTGCTGGCGAGGAGCTTTCCATCAGCGACCATGCCGGAGGAGCCACTCGTGCGCACCAACACGCACGCAGGCGTGGGGGCCCTGCAAACCCACATCCAAAAATGTGCGTCAAGATTCCCTGCATGTGCACTAGCACCTGGACCCCAAATGCAGTGCATGCACAAAACATGGCAGTTTATGTTTTGTATTGCGGCTCAGCTTTTCGTTCCCATACTCCAGAGCTCTGGGAAGGGCTCTTACACCCTTTGTAGTAAGGTGGAGTAGGAGCAAGCAAGAAAAGATGCCATGGCCTCTTTCCTCTGTTTAGCCTCCCCCCACTAAAATCCCCTGACATCCGCACACATGAATAAGCATGGGGGTGTGTGTTACCCAGGTTGCATGAGAGCACAAGAAGGCTTTTTTCAGGCATCAGTGTACCAGACCAACAGAAGGGATCAGAGCTTCAGGGCTGCAAACCTTGCACTGAACGATCTGGATCTCATGTGCATTGAAACGATGCGTCTTTGCTCAAACACCCCGTGCATATGCCTCCCATGGCCACATCCTGACCAGTGCTGTGCATCCCCGATGTGCTCCTGGCAGGCTGCAAATCAACAGCGTCTCTGGGACCACTCTGCTAAACTGAGGAGCTGCTAAACTGGGGCTGCTTACATCTGCCTCCATGGCTGAATCTCCACAAGTTGCACCAGGGCTGGGTTTTTACGAACACGTCTTTAAACTGGTTTTGCCTTCTGCCACCCAGTGCGTTACACAGAGCATTAATAGATGTCACAGTGCTTAACTAAAGTAGAAGAGTTTCATTGCTCTGGTTGACGAACAGGGAAAATGAGGCATTGCATCTGCTCTAGACCTGGGAACTGAATTTGTGTTTCGTGTGCCCATGTCCTCCCCCAGGAGCCATCCCCACCGTCACAAGGAAATGCCAGCCCCCCCTGCAGCAATGTGCCCCTCCAGAGCAACCTGCATTCACAGTACCTGCCACCGCCGGGGAGGCACTCCCACCCACCTGCCCCTGCCCACGGCGTTGACAGAAATGCCCCACACCAGAGAAAGTGAAACACTTACGTCTCCAGCGGGATCTTTGTCTGGGCCTTGGCAGAGGGCAGGAGGCAGAAGAGCCAGAGCATCATCCACGGGACGGCCCACGGCCCCATCCTCCACGCGCCAAGCATCAGCAAGGTGATCGGCTGGCGGGATGCGGGGGTTCCCCGCCCTTCCTGCTGCCCCGAGGGGGGTCCCACGCGGCCCCCG